AAATCAATTAATCGAAAGTGAGTGCAGGTATACAAGCAAACGAAAGTGTGATTCCCGGGATTTTTCCCTTTAAGCTGAAAGCAAGGACAAAGGCATTAGCGTTTCAGCTGTTTCATCGTTTAAACGAGGGTTCATTCTGCATGACCTGGCCCTTGTAAGAAGATGATAATGGGAAGTGATTGTAAGTACACAAACAGACGAAACTGAAAGAAACAAAACAAAACAAAACAAAAACAAAAAACAAAAAAGGCAGGCTCCTGGGGTTTTCCCTTTAAGCTGAAAGCAAGGACAAAGGCAAAGGCGTTTCAGATGTTTCATCGTGTAATATGGTGCGCAAAGTGAATTAGAAATCACTGGAGATGGTTTATCATTATTATTCACCAATACCCTTCAGGCTATACATTACGTCACCCTCTTTTTCAATCAGTTCGCAAAGTGTAAATGGAAGTGAACCGAGAATTTCACATCCATTTACACTTGACCACGATTCACTCACCATATTTCGCCGAGCGAGTTTCTTTTACGCCAGGTAGTTAGTCCGCCTTTATACTAGATCACCTGGTAAATGTGAGCAGTGTTCCAAGATACGAGGGAAAAAAATTTAAAGTATCTCACAGGAGAGTTTTAAAAATTCGGTTGAACCATGAAGTAAGAGAGCTTTGAATGCCATAGGAGACCATACTTCACTGTCGAACTCAGCAGGCACTCTGACCTACCACAACTTATGATTTCGTGTTACTTACGAAATGTTATGTTTTTATGACATTAACTGGAAAAAAGATATAAAGCCACCCTTGGTGATATTTAGTTAATTAAAAACAGGAGACTAGTTCTCATAGACGACACCACAGCTGTCATCGTTTGTCCCTTTCACGATTAATCGTAGCATTCCGTGAAATATACCACGGTTTCGTTCAATCTGCTATTGAAAAGGAGGGAGTAGTGGGAGGGGCTTTACATTGACGTTTTACCGAAACCATGCTACATAATGCAACCTGAATATATTTGTCATATAATTCTCTTATTGTCCTCTCTTCGTTTTCTAGATTTTAATGTTCTCGCTGTTATTGTTCATTATTTCTGTCTCGAATTAAAAACACTATACCCACATTCTTTTTAGCTTCTTCAAATTTTGGAATGCGCTCTGCGGAATATGCTCCAAAAGGTTCTGTTGAAGGTCTCTGACGAGAAAGCAATGCACTGTCACGTGTATGAGTCAAAAAGCCATGCAACGTTGAAGTCTATGAGTCAAAACAGAACTATGACTAAAAATTTATTCAGACTTGGTTCTAGCAGATTTTACTGCCTTACATTCTCTCAAGTATTGTGACGCGAGTGTTATAGAGGTAGCGAAGGGGTCAGGGAGAGATGGAGTTCTACAAAAAAAGGTAGATTTTTTGGATGCTTCATACATCCAAACGCCTTTCCCTCCCGATGCTAACAATATGCCACGATTAACCCATCACGTATACTTCTTGAAGGAGATTTTTCACATGCTTTTTCAGAATTTTGAACCTGAGCTGACCCATTTTCAATCGTATTCCTTACTCCGAAGAAAACCTCAGCTCAAGCTGTCAACAGAGGATGAAAAGGATTATTGTGAGTGATGTCCTCAGTTTTACAGTTTTCAAGCATAAAATTACGCTATTCATCGAAACATTACAACATTAACTCCGCCCTCTCAGCTATGCAACCAAATGATTGCTTCTTATGTTACTGTGTGATGTGTGACACAAAAATATTCTATGCCTCAGAAATTAGACAATTATGTACAATCAAGTTCGCTGCTTTTCGGATTTAAAGTTTAAACCACTTTTAATAGGTGGAGGCTGGTTTCGATCGAAAAACACTTTAAATCTATAGAAATCTAGAGAATCGCTTTCCCTTGTACAGATATGATTACCCTTTATTTTAAGTTGTCTACTTACAAGTAGTCTAATCTCGTCAGATTCTGGAACGCTTTCTCAGGTATAAATTTCAACATGTTCCATGATAAATCTCTAAGAAGAAAAAAAATTATCTCAGGGAATTGTAGTACATAGTGATGCTCACGTGCGGAAACGAATGCAAGTGATGTAATACACTCGGGACCTATGGATTTGCATGCATGTAGCGTATCTATAGCGTGTATTTAATTTTTTGTAGTAGCTCTTTTTCGGTCAAGAGTAAGTGTGTAAGGGACGTGAATAAACAGTTTTCAACTTAACCGCGGTGTACTGCAGGAATGAGTGCTAAATTAAGCAAACGAAAGGAGGCGCGAAGGCTGTCAGGATCTTCCTACCTCTTTTTAAAATTCTACAAGGTAAGATACATGGTACATTACACTAATGGCATTTATATATTTACAAATCCAAACTATACGTACATCCTAGTTAAGTTTGGAAGATGGAAGGTGCTCTGAGGAAAGGTCGTCAACTTGTTTCCTGAGAGAGATCTATAAGTTAAAAAAATAAGAATAACTTTCTCAATTATTTGATTTCAAATAGTAAGTGAAAATT